CTGGGGACATTGGGGACGTGCAAGCCCCCACATTACAGGTGAAGACATACGTCACAGGAAAGGGTTGTGCTACAGGTATTACAGTGATGGGAGGGGGTGATCTAGGGACTACAGAAGGAGGAGGGATTGGGGGTGTACATGCGGCAAGATAGACGGCAAGATAGGCAGATCCTAGATTTCTGGTAGCAGCTTCACTAGACTTTGGGTCTCCATAGGAACCATTATCAGTTGGGTGTGAACTCCGCCCACAGGAACCAAACTAATGGCCTTAGGCTCCAGAGAGAGGTAACCCATGTCTCTAGCATCAGGGAGCAGGCCCACCCCCGGTGGTGGGATGAGATAGCAGTCTGGCAGCAAGTATCTGACTTCCCCCCACAAGATCTAGCCTGTGTGTAACTGTTATATGTAATAGTATGTTCGATTGCTTTTCCAAGCTTTTTATCTATGCTTTTTGTTGACCCTTTTTACATGTAAATTTTGGATCTTTCATGTACACAAGAATACACCTAAAACATGCAGTTTTTGTGCTTTTTCCTTCTTCTGGATCAAGGGAGGTGTTTTATTTCTCCTTTGTCTCTGCCAGTTTGGAAGTGACACGTTCAGATACATAGTTGCTCACCCTCAGACCTGAGTCATGTAAGCACCCTAGAAAGCCTGCACTCTAGCGCCAGTTCCTTGTTGCTGGCTACTGTGGTCTCCTCTTCTAGAATGAGCCTTTTCCTTCCCAGCTTGGTCATTTTTGTTACGTCTTATTCAGTTATGTGCCCGTACCATCCCGTCTACATCCTGATCCTTCCTTCTAATTAACTTTCTCCTTCCTTTAATACACCCTTTAGAGAAGCCCTGGTGGTGCAGTGGTTACATACTGGACTGTGGATACAAGGTCAGAAGTTCAAAACCACCATGTGCTCCTCAGGAGAAAGGCAGGGCAGTCCTACCCTGCCCTCTAGGGTTGCTCTGAGTTGTCATCGATTCTATGGCAGTGAAGTGGATGTACCCTTTGGAAGGCTCTTTATCAAGGGGGAATTGATGAGGGTTTTTTAAAACCGATTTATAATGACCTGTGAATGGTTTCTTTTTATCCTCATGAAAAAACTTGATTATTATAAGGTTAATTAAAAATATATAATTGATAACCAACGCCATTGTTCTACCACATAACTCATGACCAGTCTTATTTCGTATATACGCCTGCCTGCTTCCCACCTGACCCCCATCTCCAAGCCTGAAAGATTTGTATTACACTGTGTATTACAAGTATATTACAATGATAAAACCTTTAGAAATCAATAATTCCTAGTAATCATCCAATAGACACTGTTCATATTTCACTGATTATCCAAAATGACTTTGGAAATGGCTATTTTGCTTAATGGTGTTCCAAACAAGATCCACACATTGCAGTCTGTTA